AATCATTCACAGTCTCTGGCAAAATCACAAGACAAGAATTTATTAAAACAAATATCTCGTTTTGTTTGAGGAATCTTCTGCAAATGCGAGAGCCATTCGAAGCAGAGAATTCCCAGATCACAGCATCAGGACTGCGTCTTTTGTCATCCGAAATAATTTTAAACAAAAACATTTACTATTCTTCATGGAAACAGAAGAAGAACGAGGAGGGAATTGATGACAGGGAGGAGTTTGCCGAAATGATGGTGTCGGCCCACCGGAACTGGAGCAACCACAGCTTCATGGCAGGTCTCTCAGACACCCGATCACTGAAAGAAAAGAAACAAATTGTCGATGATTTGTACGCCAATGTCATCATGGAAATTGCAACAATGAACCCTGAACTCTTTAAGAATGACTTTTATACAGCATATGCTTTGATCAAGAAGGTGTAAAAAATACACAAAATATGGGTGTGGCGTTAACTCTTAACAAAGGTATAGTAATATTTTACTCAAGAAATAAAGTTCGAATTATCTTTTACATAGATGTTGTACACCGAACACAAGAATTCAAGCTGTATGGCCGCAGTCTGTGTATAAAAGAAACTGGACCAGACAACCACGTGTGTGACATCATGATCACCACTGTACGTAACAGTGAGTGACTTAATATTTATCATCACATCGGCCATATTGATGAAGAACAGTAAAACTACTAGTGTATCACAGATGTCAAAGTAAAACTAGAATGTTGTCCTTAAACGATATTATTAAAGTGAACAATACAATATAAAAAAAGACTATAGATTGCCAACAACTGAAGGTAGGTTGCTTTTGTGAGTCTTAAAGTGTTGGCAACCTTCGTCGCACAGTGTGAAAGTCAATACTAGGACGGCTGTTGAGAGAGACAAGATTAATCAGTGATTTAATACGTAAGTTCCTTTCAGTGTCGCATATCACAGAGATACAATCATGTTGTGCCTATGATCTCCCTATTAGACGTTGAAGGGAAGTAGTAACATGACTATTTAACATGATATATTCTTTGGGAGGTGTAACATGCGTCACAACCACGAATGAACATTGGACACCAAGGACACACACACACACACACACACACACACACACACACACACATGGGACTAACGGGAATCTCAATTGCGTAGATCGATCCTCATGATCACTAGATTGTCTGGACCAGACACAGTTATTTACGGACCGTCGATATATAGCTGGAATATTGTTGAGTGCGGCGCAAGAGTAAACTCACTTACTCACTCACTTTTTATGTGTGGCAGTCATCGTTATTCCAGCATGTTCATCAAGTGCTAAAAGCGTGTCTCAGTTATGTCACAGCTTATAGTTCTGTTTTAACTGCGTCCTACGGTCTGCCCCTAATTGCAGGCGATGTCTTTTCTGAGTGTGTTTCGATATCTGTCTTTGATATAGTAAACTAATTCTTGATTGTCTGTTCATTTGATTTGATTTTCTTCCTTGACATAATATGTAATGGACAAAAAGTCTCTCATGATGTGGCTGCTATTTATATATGCCAAATACAACAATAACTAATGAATACACAAACCTCCACAAACGTTGCAGTTGCAACCGTATATGTCTGTTGCAATACGGCAGTTCATATCAACGTATGCAATACGAAGAGGGAACACTGATCAGCTTCACTTAAAGCGTACTAGAGTACCATAACCATGATTTGGTAAAGCAGGCTACACAGTGCTGTGTGGTACCATCTTGCGTTCATTTAACACAGTTGTAGTAGATTTAACACATTTTGTCAGAATAACAGCCAGTCAGTGGTATTTCATCAAAACTAACTGTAAATGTAGGTAAATTGTTCTCGGAAGTGGAAAGGAAGTACATGGCATATTGGATGCGATACGGTGCGGTGCCAGTTGTGTCCTCAGGATATGTGTGATTCTCCTTGCGATTGTAGTTTAAAATTGACACCATTTGCGAATTATTTTTAAATCCTCAATGTTTTACGAGGCCACGACAGGTCTCCGTAAATAAAACTATTGGACACCAAGCTGTGTTGCGATCTATAATCATGGGATAAAAATTTCGTCCAACGACAGACCGTTACACTAACTGTATGAATACATTTTCAGCTCACTCTGATAGTCAGTAGGTTGGTGCCCTCACAGCCTCTGCCTAGCGCATACTTTGTCATCACAGATGCGTATGCACGTATTTCAGATACCATGACCGTTGATTAAACAGTGGTCAAAGATTCCAGTCAGATTTCATCATCCGTTGATGCTTTCATTCTAAGTATATTCTTTTAACCATAAGGTTTGACAATAGCGCAAAAGGAGCATTTGCCTATTGTCTGTATGAAAGAAATTCCGTAAACATAACTTTACGAACATGAAGCTGGTGTGATACCGAGATGTGTGACGTATTTTCAGGAATATCACAGTTGTGGACAACAAACGGTCGCCAAAACACTGCAAACGTAAGGTCTAAAAACAACTCTGATACCCTATCAAGTACGTCATCATCCAATAACAATTTCTCGTTATTTTATTTTAATCACCTTCGAAAATGCTTGAGTACGTTCTTTGCCTGGCAATTTATAACTAAACATGTGACTTTTCGATATAGTTACAATCTGTAGCTTAAGATTTTAAGCTATCAGAATATGTGGACCTGTTGTGTCATGGTATTTTTCATTTAATAGCGTGTGGAATATACACGAAATAATTTTTTAGTCATCTCCCAGCAACAACCCCTCAATGACACACCACTCAACGAAACGATTCACATGTACTATGGCATTTTAATCGTGAAACACATAGTATTTATATATACTCTCCAAAAAGAGAAACTTGACATAAATTTGAACTTTAGGAAAATATTTGACACAAACCAATCCACGTTGAAGCCCAGCATGTGAGGGAATGATTGCCGACCACAAAACGTTTGAAAAAAGGAACGTTTAACAAAAACGTAACGTTACACTCACGTCTGTAGTGAGTCGCTAGAACGCTCCCTACATGAAATGCACGAGCATCATGAAATTGGGTATCACCCTGAGCTGAAGCCTATGCCTGTAGGCTTTAAAATGCAACATCAATGGTAATCTACATGCATTGCTTTGAGCCACTATTGACGACAAGAGAATGAAAAGACTGACAGAAGCTCAACGACACAACGCCATCGGCCGTTTACAAGCACGGACATCGCAGCATGATGTGGCAGCATGACAGTGCTCGACCTCACGTTGCACGTGTTTGACAGGTCTTCCTCAAGCTAAACAATGTTCAGTTGTTACCTTGGCCTTCTCGATCGCCGGATTTGTCCCCCATTGAACACCTGTGGGGAACTTGTGATCCACGATTGTGCCAGCGTAATCCGCCACCGCAGACACAACCAGATCTGCACACAGCACTTCAGCAAGTGTATCAAAACATTCCTCAAGACAGCATTCGGCATCTCCTTTCTTCTAAGGGTCACCGCTGCCAAGCATGCTCATATGTAAAGTGATGATTTTACTGTAACTGAGCAATGATGTCATGTTTAAATCAGTTATATGCACTCAGTAAGTAAACTCCAAAACAGTATGTCAAGTTTATTTTTTTTAAGAGTATATTATATATTTATCAATGCCAAAGCCATTGGTGAACCCTAGAACGCTGGAATGGATCCCTCACCGTTAGAATTACGTGTCTATCGTGTAAGTTGGGAGCGAGAAGGGGTGAGGAAAGGGTTCTTGACGTGCCTGTGCACCCAATTTTAAGATCACCTATGAATAGGTCAGTGACACCTGCCATACATATACACAGAGATATCGTGTCTACGCGTACATGGAGAGGAACAGGTAAGTTTTTTCTCTTCTCTGAATGCTGGTCTCAGTCGAATTGTACATCAGCTTGCGGTTAAAAGCATGACAGGATCTGTATTATGATTCTTGTAGCTATTGCACACTATTCAAGTTAGGGGATGTTTAAATCAAGATTGTGTGTTTATTGTATAAAGAAACACTCCGAAATATTCAGGCTGTAGGACAGTGACCTATTAATAATCGAGTTTGGACGAGATAACACTGATATTGACACCATAATCCATCGAACGTGGATACAATACATGCGTAATCCAAGTCATCTTGCCTCACGGCCTGATCCAGTCAATGACCTTTTACGATATGCTCTGCTTCTCTAGACCAATTTTAATCTTGATCTTCATTGATGTTTCAATTAAGAACATAGAAGTACACATTTCAAGCCATGTCACAGCGACAGATAAGATGTTCCAGCCAGGTACACGACATGACACGGACAGTGGTATGATTGTGTATCTCTTCTGAAGTGTATCTTCATCAGCTGTTATTTGAACTTATTTCTGTCCCCAAATATAATGTACTATAGCCATTGGCTAATCTTGAATGTAAGCGGTTGTGATTTACGCCTTATCTAACATTCATTTTCAGCTTACGGAAAAGTATAACAACTGAACCAAATCAAGAGTGTGAGTCACTCAGTTCAACCATCAGGCATGTCTTCAGGATTACTCAGTTCAACTGTCAATGTATCAACGTCTGCAAGATATTCTCCAACAATACCAAAAGCAGCCATGTTTGTTCCTTATGGAGAAAGTAGATCTGGAAGCTATGGAGCTACTCTTGGAAAACTACATGCTGGATATATGGAGCCAATACACTCCAAAGTTTTCAAATTAGTCGTGTCCATTCCTTTTCCAAAACGTTCAGTGTTCAGCATAGGAGATTATGGCACAGCAGACGATGGTAGATCCATGGTCTTTCTTTGGAGACTTTTAGATACCCTTAAAGAACGACACGGCACTGATACCCAGTTTCAGGTTATTCATGAAGATCAAGGTAGAAATGATTTCAACTCACTCTTCCGATGCTTGACAGGAATTATTCCCGAGCCGCCATCCTACCTCCTGGCGATGGATAACATGTATGCTTTTGCTTGTGGAACAGACTTCTACAAACAATGTGTACCTTCTGATTCCATGCATTTCATCATGTGCATGATGTCCGTACACTGGCTGTCTCAACCGCCCACAGTTTATAGGGACTCTATCTACGTTTGTAACGACAGCCTTGAGGAAGAAAAAGAAGCATTGAGGAAACAGGCCCAAATGGACTGGGAGAAGTTCCTGCTGATGAGGAGTAGGGAATTGAGAGAAGGTGGGGTACTTTTTGTTGGTGCGCCTGCTGCTTATATGGATGAAAAGACTTGTCGAGTAAGGTTTTCTGGAGAAACGTTAGTGACTCAGATGACAGACATATGGAAATCATTCACAGTCTCTGGCAAAATCACAAGACAAGAATTTATTAAAACAAATATCTCGTTTTGTTTGAGGAATCTTCTGCAAATGCGAGAGCCATTCGAAGCAGAGAATTCCCAGATCACAGCATCAGGACTGAGTCTTTTGTCATCCGAAATAATTTTAAACAAAAACATTTACTATTCTTCATGGATACAGAAGAAAGACGAGGAGGGAATTGATGACAGGGAGGAGTTTGCCGAAATGATGGTGTCGGCCCACCGGAACTGGAGCAACCACAGCTTCATGGCAGGTCTCTCAGACACCCGATCACTGAAAGAAAAGAAACAAATTCTCGATGAATTCTACACTAATCTCAACATGGAAATTGCAAGAATGAATCCTGAACTGTTTAAGCATGACTATTGTACAGCATATGTTTTGATCAAGAAGGTGTAGAAACATACACAAGTTTGTTATTGAATATAAGGGTGTGGCGTTAACTCTTAACGTTAACTCAAGATATGGTATTGTCTTAGTCTTAGAAGTCATTTTCGAATTATTTATTATATATATGTTATGTACTGAACTCAAGTATTCAAGTTGTATGACTGCAGTCTGTAAATTAACGAAACTGGACCAGACAACCACGTGGTTGACATCATGACCATCGCTGTACGTAACAAGGATGCGGCATACGTAACAAGGGTACGGCATACGTAACAAGGATACGGCATACGTAACAAGGATACGGCATACGTACCAACGGTTCGGCATGCGTAACAAGGATACGGCATACATAACAAGGATACGGCATGCCTCTATCAAGTCAACCAGGCTGTGCCTGCTTCACGACCATATTCAGTATTCAGAACATTACGATTATCAGCTTGGCTGTATAAATGGAATGACCGAGACATTCATAGAAAGCTTCATTCAGGGATTCCCGTTGGACTGGCGAAGTATAGTTATATCGTGTCTCCCTTTCAATGGGTACAGTGGTTTCATAACGAGCTCCGTTTTGTTGCTTTTGTTAGTCTTAAAGTGTTGGCAACTTTCGTCGCACAGTGTCTAAGTCAGTACTAGTACGGCTGTGGAGAGAGACAGGATTAATCGGTGCTATCATACGTAAGTTCCTTTCAATGTCGCATATTAGAGTGATACAATCCTGTTGTGAATATGATCTCCCTATTAGACGTCTAGTGTTATAGAAATTATTACATGAGGAAATTATTACTTTTGGGAGGCGTAGCTTATGTCACAACCACGTATACTATCTCTCTCTCTCTCTCTCTCTCTCTCAGTCTCTCTCTCTCTGTCTCTCTCCTCTTCTCTCTCTCTCTCTCTCTCTCTTTCTGTTGTTTGTTGCGACACGTGAAGATCCGGATTAAAATTGAACTTCAGTAACTTATGCTTGTCGTAAGTTTCGACTAACAGAGTGTCATCGCATCTCAGTTATATAGAACGATCCTCATGCTGTTGATCACTGGACTGTCTGGTGGAGACTCGACCACCGACATAAAGCTGGAATATTGCTAAATCTAAACTCACTCACTGTTTGTTGTGTGACAGTCACCTCTGTTCCAGCTTTTTCAGCAAGTGTTACACACGTGACTCATGCATTTACGTCACAACTTATAATCGTGATATGGATGCTATTCCAATAATGCCAAATACAACAATAATTAATGAAAACACAACCCACCACAAATATTGCAGTTGGACAATGTAACGTCGTTGGCGCCACAGAATGATTGTAACGGTATTTCTGTCTATTGCCATACGGCAATTCATATCAACGTATGCAATACGTTAAGAGGAACGCCGATCTGCTACGTCTACGCACTAGTGTACAGGCATTGTTTATTATTTAGTATACGTATTACCATTCACAAGCTTTTATGCATGAGCGTATTTGACCTAATTAAATCGTGACTGCATTGTTAATATGTTTCATTGCCAGTGTTGTGAGATATCTGTGGATATCTAAAATATGTACGAGTGAGCTTAGTTTTACGCCGCTTTTAGATATATTCAAGCAATATCACGGCGGTGACACCAGAAATGGACTTCACACATTGTACCCATGTTGGGAATCGAACCCGGGCCTTCGGCGTGAAGAACCAACGCTTTAACCACTAGGCTACCCCGCCGCCCCAAATGTGTAAGAACAGACACGTGCTGCTGCAAAGGAGGTCATACAGGGAAGTGCTTAGCAGACAAATCTATAAAGATTAGGATTAAATTCTAAGATCTTTTTCTAAGAAAAACCTATGTCTTTAGTACCAAGACACTTGTCTCAATTATGTTTAAGGACCATTGGTTACTGCACGTAGTCTTTCATGGACATCTTCAAAAACAACAACAATAATAATATTGATGGTGAATGTAATAGCATATTCATCAAACAAATGAATTCCATCTTAAAGAAAGAACCTCGGCCTTGTGTGCTTTTGTCTTTTTATGAATATAAACTCAAGATGAGTCATTGGCGTGCGCCATGCAGTTTGTGCGTATATCAACAGTGACAGTTTTGTTGCAGAACATGATGGAAAGGTATAGTAGGTTCAAGTTGTGTTCCTTAAACAAAGCGTTCTACACGCTACAATTAAACCCATGTTAGCACTTTTGAAATGTGGCAGTGTTAGTGCAACGACCTCTAAACCGGCATCATCATTACAACATCGTCGTTCCCGCGCGTGCGTGGGGGACCTCAACACTGGTAACATCAGTACCATACAAAAACGGCGTTGTTGTTGATTGGTGTTGGATCTCATGACTTCGTCTAGCCAGCGCCGGAAATCAACACCGCCCACGGATTTTCTATAGACAATTGTCGATCTGAAACCACTTATACCAGTGAATAAAGTATGGGGCAATTTCTCTTGGGGATATGTGAATGACGGTCCCCGTTGTATGACTACGGGGTATAGAGCTCCGGGCTGTTTGTTGGTGCTACACAAAGGACTTCACTGTGTACGACAGGTTTGTGACTAATGTGTTACACACCGTACAATAGTATGAATACAGAAGGTCATTTACAAAACGGTCAAATGTACTTTGTTAGTATAGGTCCGTCTCCTATTCTCGCGGGTTTCCTATTCTCGCGGTAAATACGTTTTCTTCCGAAATCGCCGATGCGCGACACTTAACGATTGTTTACATCACCGACTGGTAACTAGGAAGTGGTCCAAGTCGGTGAATGATCGAAATCTTGCAGTGTCACGAATATTGGGGAGTTTATACCAACTTGGCCATATCATTACTTTTTCCCGCCCTTTCCGGCAGGATGACTCTTACATACACTCAATAACGTTAATTCCTGGTAATACCGCGAGAATGGGAGAAGCCTCGTTTCGTCAATGGCGGATGGCATTGTTTATCGCCGGGCTCACGAGTGGTAATTCACCTGATGGATCTGGCAGCTGATAGATGTTAGAGGAGAAGGCCCTTCATTTATTAACGCCAAACATTCATACGATAAGAAGTGTTTATGTTATTTTTTCAGCCGGTATCCGTAAGTACCGCGAGAATAGGAAACGCCTTCCTACTTTGATGGGTAGAGCCCACCCGTTGCTAGTACCTTGTTTAGTTGAGACCACACGATGCTAGTACCTTGCTTGTGTTGACACCCACCCGATTCAAGCATCTTGTTCAGTGAAGACCACCCGATTCTGGTACCTTGCTTTAAGCACCTTGTTGAGTTGAGACCACCCGATTCAAGCACCTTGTTCAGTTGAGACCACCCGATGCTAGTACCTTGCTTGTGTTGACACCCATCCAATTCAAGCACCTTGTTGAGTTGAGACCAGCCGATGCTAATACCTTGTTGGGTTGAGACCCACCCGATTCAAGCACCTTGTTCAGTTGAGACCACACGATTCTGGTACCTTGCTTCAAGCACCTTGTTGAGTTGAGACCACCCGATGCTAGTACCTTGTTGGGTTGAGACCCTCCCGATTCTTGTATCTTGATGGCTGAGTTCCATCCAGGTACTAGAATCGGGATTTAACTGAGAAAGTGTAATCCCAAAAGCAACATATGTAAAGTCGAAAAGTAGTTATCAAAACAAATAAACTTATTTAAGAATTTAAATGTACGGTGTTTCATGACCTAAAGGTTTTGCCTATTGACTTTAGCACCTTCCTCCTTTGCAGATACAGTTTCATTTTAAGACACAAAAGTTGTCGATGTTTTGCATCTGAAGGGAATATTGATCCCCCAGAAAGACCTGCAGGGGACAAGAAGATATGCACGTAAGACAAGACTTTCAAACATTAAGACAATGTTACTAGGCTGGAAAAGGTCTCGAACCATTGCAAACTCGTGTATATGTACAAACATATAATATAATACTACACAGTATTATATATGATCGAAGAACTATTTCTTGTTTCTTAATTTTCAGATTAGCCACCATCAAACTTGTTTTTGCCCTGCAGTTGATGTTATCCCAATAGTTTTCTTAACTTAATCCGAAAATATTACTTTTTCATTGTAATTACGAGAGGAGGGCCCCGATATAACGCTTCAAATAATCAGCATGTATCCATTATTTAAACCAAACTAATTACAGGATTTTGTCTTATTTACAGTATGGAATGCTTTTGTCCAAAAGCGTCTGATAAGTATCGCGAAAAAGAGTTTGACAACAAACACGATGATGAAAATGATGATAAAGAGGACGATGACTTCGAAGATACGGACACCGACGTTGTGGATGACTTAGATCCCTACAATCCGTCTGACAAGCAGTACATCCAGGATTCTCTAGGTTCATGCCTGAAGTATTACACCAAAATATTCCTGCCACCGAGACCAGATCCACACAAACCACAACGTCCAGTAGTTCCCAAAGGCAAAATGTGGACAGACCCAGACTTTCCTCGACCAATGAAAATTAAACTGAACAAAAAAGTGTGTTTGCTAGAATGGAAGAGGCCACACGTGAGTATTTATAATGTGTTACAAGCGTTCTATCACTCAAATTGAACGGTGTTGCAATAAAAGATTCATTTTTGAAACGCTGTCTGAAGATGCAAAAAGTGGTTAAAGCGTTCGCTCGTCACGCCGAAGAGTGAGTGAGTGAGTTAAAATTTATAGTCACATCGACAATATTTCAGCCATATTGTGACTTAAAAAGTTATAAATTAACAATAAACACAATTACATTATAAAACACCTGTCGACGAAAGACAGTAAAACAACTAGATAACAGGAATAAATTTAGGACTAGTAATTAATCTTAACTAGTTTACCTATAAATGACAATACAACATAAAAACCGGCTATAGATCGCCAACAACTTAAGGTAAATCACCATACTAGGGATCACGAGGACTTACAGTACATTGCTACCTGCATGGGCCGTAACGCCGAAGAGCCAGGTTCGATTCTCCACATGCAACGTGTGAAGCCCATTTCTGGTGTCCCCCGGACACACACACACACACGTATGCTGGTATATTTCATGTTATATATTCCAGTTATATCAGAGTTGTCTGTACATAATCGAGTCTGGACCAGAGAGTCCAATGATCAACAGCATGAACGTCGATCTACGTAACTGGGATACGATGACGTGTGTCAAACATATCAGCCAGTCTAAACACCTGATCCCGTTAGTCGCCTTTTACAAGCCTGGGATACCGAAGACCAAATCTAACCCGGATCTTCACGGGTGTATATTTCATGAGACTGATCACTCATATCCATGAATTAAACACATCGACATACTCTAAAATTTACATTATTCAGATGCCAGATTAGACAGATTATATGTCATAAGCAATTTTAACTTAGTTCCTCACTATTGATTTTTGTTTGATTTCAGAAAATCTATAGTAACCCAGTTCTTTTCCATGAACAAACTGAGAGAGGTGATATCAACCAACGCAGTTTTGGAACATGTTGGTTTTTAGCGATGGTTGCAAACATAGCAGAGAACCCAGTTCTTCGACGAAAGGTCTGTGCATATGTTTTTATAGACTTTAACAAGTAGAGTGAGTGAGTGAGTGAGTGAGTTTGGTTTTAATCCGCTTGTAGCAATATTCCAGCAATATCACGGCGGGAGGCAGCAGAAATGGGCTTCACACATTGTACACGTGTTGGGAATTGAACCCGGGCCTTCGGCGTGACGAGCGAACGAATAGCCAACTAGGCTACCCCACCGCCCCTTTAACATCCCGCATGACCAGATGCATTGATTGTCATGCAGCAAGCCAGAGATATGGCAGTAACATGGCACTGACCTCATTGCCAATACTCCGAACTACTTCTGTTTATAAGTGTGATATTTAATGAGGTAGAACTGTAATTCACTCGTCATGACAAAGGCATGGAGTCAATTCCCTATCGTGGACTCAGGCCTTATTGATGTCGTAATATGGCTGGATGAAAGTTTGCATTACCACAAATTACGAGGTTACCAACAACACAGATTCCATTTGCATAACAGGTAAAATAGCATTGAAAAATCGTTGAATCTGTCACTGAAACTCGGGGATGACTTTCTTTTTAAGGTGATCAACGAAATGTCCTATACTCCCAGAACGGATGGAGTCTTCCACTGCAGGATGTGGCGGTTTAGGGATTGGGTGGACATCTACACTGATGATTTATTGCCTGTCAGGAAGAAATCAGTGTTCCTGTTTGGGGCTGCCGCTCCTTCTCTCTCCGGCGAGGTGTGGGTCTCCCTGCTGGAAAAGGCCCTTGCAAGGTGTGTCGACACCTTTTATATTAATGTAATTCATTTTGATAAGGTGCTTCGCTAAAATTCAAAGCCGCCGACAGTACTTTAACAGGCGATAAAGTTTTTGCATTACGTCACACTGTATCGACGTCACTACGCCATTCTGGTCTGCCCCCTCGGAATCAAACGTATCCTTGGTAAAGTACCTCGTCTTTAAACTATTCCGTAGAATCCCGTTTCCTGCTTATTTCGACGGAAACGTCCCTGAAAGAGTCCGTCATTTAGCCCCGAACGAGACTTGTTAATTTAGGTCACCGACACCGTCGCTTTTCTGTTTGTGTTCTGCCTCGATTAATTCCTGTGTGTATTAAATTATTTGGCATCTCAGAAAAGAAATACACTTCGCTCTACCACCATGTTTTGTGTTATAAAGTACACTTTTGCCCTGAGCTATTATAGTTTAAGTACGAGGACGCTTGCGTGCTTTTGTCGAATAGGAAAGCTTGTTTCATTCCTTGTAGCCACGAGTGCCTGTAAATGCGAATGCGAAAGCGTGGCTAAAACCTGCATTTAAAATTAGCTCTGCCTATCTGTTTGTTCTCCTTGAACTACCTATCATTGGCACCTCGGCTTTAGGCTCCACGGATCCTACAGCGTTGTTGAAGGGGGTTGGCCAAGCGACGCCTACCTGTCCCTGACCGGAGGGGTGGCAGAGACGATAGACTTTGCTACCTACAACGACCACCCCTACGACCTTTTCCGGCGAACAGCGAATGCGCTTGGCAGTGGCGGCCTGGTGACTTGCTGTAATCTTGTGAGTATCTCATCACTGTCATTTCTTCTCATACCATAAACGTTAATGCTAAGGATGGCGTCTGGGTAGCCCAGTGGTTAGAGCGTTGGATTGTCAAGACAAAGATCTCGGTTCGATTTCCCACATGAGTACACTGTGTGAAGCCCGTTTCAGGTGTCCCCGCTATGATATTGCTGGAACATTGCTAAAACTATACTCACTAGCTTTTGTTAAGAAACATAGATGTCCACGCATGTGCGCGTTTTCCATTTTTCAAAGTATTTGGTGATGATACTTTTCAAATATGATACCTGGAGGAAGTTTCATGAGAAACACAAGCACTGTCAAAATACTCAAAGATGTTTCCACCTTTTTCGTCAACGTTAACACCTGTTATCATTATTATTATTAATATAGGATATTTATATAGCGCACATATTCAGGTGACTAGTACATACTCAAGGCGCTGGCATCTTTTTCCTTCGATCATTGGATGTCAATCTCAACGGCACATCATATTATTAATCTCAACTCCCTGGGGATTGTACAATTCTTGCAGCCACTAGGCGCACCGAGTTAATGTGGCTTTCTCATCCTTACGAAATTCCCATTCACAGCTGGGTGGACTGGGACACATAGTCACAGTACTTTGTCCAAATTTACTGCACGTTGCTGTACCCGCAACTGGGTGTTTTTCAAGTATTCAGGTGGCCACCATCTGGTCATGTGCCAATGGATTCGTGGGTTCTTTTAAGTGCACTGGGTTAATGGTGATTCAAAACCACATCCTCATGAAAAAGTCTGAAATGTACTGTCGACTCTGCTTGTTCATACAATATATACCGTATCTGAGTAGATAAGCCTTTGCCTGGCTTTTCCCCCGGAAGGATAATGTCAAAACTACCACTCTTGGGCACATGGTGAAAATGGCTAAAGCGATTGAATATATAGTTCCATGTTGTTGTTGCCTGTTGCTCTTGAACAAGTATTTGTGAATGGCAAGCATTTACTTATGTATTCAGTGAAACGTTTAAGGTTTGATCTAATTTCACGGTATAGAAAATTAATCTGTATTCATTTGGCCGTTCTCAGTTTTGGTTATCATAAGAAAATTCATCTGGCCGTTTTGGTTTTAACTAACATAGCCGTCGTGGAGTATGGCTCATTGTGATGTAGGCGTTGCGCTCCATACGTAACTACTCGCCTCTTGACGTGACCTACATGGAGATTCGTACCTGTATGGTTCGCCATTATTGCCAAGAATTGTGGCAAACCAATCAATTCGCGCGTAGTAAAATGTGAATGGGGTCCATTATTCTCTTTGCGATTATCGATTTTCATTATTACTTCCGTGATTATAAAATTATCTTGTTACTGATATTTGTTAACGACATAAGAAACTTACTTAAAGTGACGTTCGTGTTGTAATATAAATTTCTCGGAGTAGCCATGTTTGTAAATTCAGAGTTACCCTGGACTATTTTCATCTCCGTATCCGTGCGAGGGTGCGGAAGGATCATGTGTGTTCTGATTGTCGTGAATACAGCTTTGTGTTTACAGGCGGACGAAGATAACATGGGACTGGTTAGAGCGCATGCTTACTCCCTGACCGGCGCTGAAGTGGTGAGTAAGTAATCGTGTCTAAAACAAGGAATTTTTCAAGTAACATGGGTATGGCCAGGGATAGTCAAATAGGTGGTCGCAGAAGTCTTGGGTGCAGATCTTAGTGGAAGTAGCAAATATTCAAACGTGTATGTTGATTATACTTTCAAGGTAAGAGATACGGTAGGGTTTCTTCACAGTAATAACCAGATGCTTCAGCCAAGCGTATGTTTGGGATGACACTTTCTCAGTACAGTTTATATTTGGGGTTGAGTCCCATCGGGGAGTTGAAACCACACTTTCATCGTCAGTACAAAGTCAGCGATCTAACAAACACAATGACTTTAAGTATTCATAACCTTACGGCCGTGGGAACCGTGCCAGTTTACACTTGTCAGAGGGATTCACTACCAGTCGCCTTCCAATTCTTGTGGAAACTGCGGTGGCTGAAGGGGTTAGATCGCTGACTTTGTGTGCTGGTGATTAGGTGCCTGACACTGAGACTGGTTTCGAAACATTTCCTGGTAATTCCTTAACTGGTCACTTAGAAGGCAGGTCCATTTCTGATTCCTGCAGGTAATGCGACATGACGGCGAAATGATCCCTCTGGTCCGAATTCGTAATCCACATGGCCATCAGAGCGAGGAGTGGCATGGAAAATGGAGTGACAGGTAGGTGTTGCAAACCTTAAGATGCCACACTGGTTGCATATTTCTTTTTAAAATCTAAACGTTCCGTTTTTTCACATAATTTTGCATTATCTCTATTATTTTCCATATCCCGAACTCGAAATCGCGATCTTCTTAGCATTGCTGCCATTATTTTCTCGAAATCACGAGTTGATTTCATTACCTTGATTATTTTCTCAAAATTTGAGTTATGTATTCATTAGTTCAAATTCCATTAGAAAAGTCAAAATTTCTAGAAAACAATTCCAAGACACGAGAAAAAGGAGTTACGAGTGTACTGAAATATTTGAAACAACAGGGAAAAAACAGAAGTAACGAGAAAATTTCGAGTATTTGAGAGAACTTGAACAACCTAAATTACGAAAATAACAAGGTATAAACGTAATAACCAAAATATTATTAAGTAACGAAGAATCTTGAATTTTTTAGAAAAATAATAATGAAACAACGGGAAACCTCTGCTAAAATTATTATATAGTTACCATTCACTTGATTCTGATGAAACAAAACTTTATTGAAGGGATCAAGTCCCGCATGTTACATAGAACGAAACTAAATAGTACTTTGATGAAGAATCACATTTCTGATGGAGTTGATACTGAAATACCGAGATGGATAATTTTGTTGGCTTGATACAGGATGATACCTATTATCACAATGTGCACCCTTTTCTGCGTCGTGAGATGTGACTGATTGTAGTGACAGTTTGTAAACTGAATGTCAGTAGATACCTATTATTATAATTTAAGTGCACGGTAAACTCGGTAAAATGAGATCATTCATCTGTTTCTTGCTTACCGCCACACTCAGCAATATTCCAGCTACATGGCGGTGGTCTGTAAATAAATCGAGTCTGGACAAGACAATCCAATGATCAACATCATGAGCATCGATCTACTCAGGTGGGATACGATGACATATGTCAACCAAGTCAGCGAGTCTGACCGCCCGATCCCTTTAGACGACTCTTACGACAAGCATGGGTTGCTGAAGACAACTTCTAACCCGGATCTTCACGGGTCAGTAGATAATTGAACTAAATACATGGGTGTATTTGGACATAGAAATAGGATGTTGAAACCATTATTTCTAGGAGTGATGAGTGGTCGACCCTCAAGATGGGCAGCAACCTTCACCATGACAATGAAGATGGCGAGTTCTGGATGAATATGGATGATTTCATCAGATACTTTGATCAGACAACAATCTGTTCCCTGACCCCGGACTTTGACATAGACGGCCGATCCGACCCATTAAGTGAGTATAAACATTTTAATTGTTTGATCGGCATTCTTCAGGTTTGTGCCGCAATATAGCCGGGATATTGCTGAGTGCGGCGTTAAACAACAGTGGGTTTATTTTTACACTGCACACAGCAATATTCCAGAGAAATGGAGGCAGTCTGTAAATAATCGAGTCTGGACCAGACAATCCAGTGATCAACAGCATGAGCATCGATCTACGCAATTGGGAACCGATGACATGTGTCAACCAAGTCAGCGAGCCTGAGCACCCGACCCCCTTAGTCGCCTCTTACGACAAGCATGGGTTACTGAAGATCAACTGTAACTCGGATCTTCACGGGTTCGTTAAACAAACGAGTCAATAATAAAGTATACAACTTAATGGATAGCAAATTTTTGTGTGTTGCAACGTTTCGGTGTATTTTCTTATTCCGTTTTCAAGCTTTGCAAGAATCTACATCGAAACGACGCTCTACGCAATAAACAAGAAGTTGTTATCTATAACGTTTATCCATATACTTATTATCAACATGCTGTTGTGCAACTTCAGGACATTCCTCAATGGTAATACTTTCTACATTTTGTTTCGTTAACTAAGTTTAAAATATAGATAATTGTATTTGAGATACTAGGGCAACCTCGGTGTATATACTGACGTCTATCTATGCTATCTCCATCAATATGTACATGCGTGTGTATGTATGTATGTATGCGTGTGTGTATGAGTGTGCACATGCATATATGCATGTTAATGTGCGTGTGTAAACGTTTGTATAAATATCTATGCTACTTTATTTTTTCAATACTGATATGGTTGCATTAGGGTCTAATCATTTCTGAAGTACAAAAGAGTTGTGAGATCTTTCATGTCCTGCTCCGATGTTGTATCGCTGTGACCGCCCTTTAACCTGCCTGACCCTGAAATCCAGTCCAACGCACATCTACAATGGTTGAGCAAGTCTATAGTACCTCACTTCTTGGTATTTAGAATTCCGTTTTATTTCGTAGGAATGATTTATTTGGTCAACAGACTATCAGTCTACATTTGAACATTACGCAAAGCGGACTTGTCGTACCTATGTCCTCGTCTATGTTGGCCAAGAAGTCATACATTAAATCCTACAACTGAAATACGAACATGATACATTTGCAAAGAAGAACCACCACCTGCGGTTCTACACCCACATATAACATGCAATAATGTTTAAATATATCGGATCATGGCCAAAGTAGCACTTGACTTCTGTTCGATAGATTACGTGCTGAGGATATTCGGAGAATGGCGAGGAAGGACCTCTGTGGGTCAAGGACGAGATTTGACGGAGAGACTAGGAAATCCTAAAATGGCGTTCACACTTCCTGGAGAAGGTAAATACTTCACAAAGAGTATTTACTGGCATCCGCTGTAGTTGAATGTTTTCTGTATGAGTGAGTACCCTATGCAGCTTGTACGAATATCAGACTGTGTGATATTTTTCAGTTTAGTTTTAGCAATGTTCCAGCGATATCACGTCGGGGGACACCAGAATTGGGCTTCACACATTGTACTCATGTTGACAATCGAACCTGGATCTTCAGCGTAAAGAGTGGACGCTTTCAAACACACTATCACGACTGGGATTTCAGGTTGTAATACAGATCCCCAGCCGCCTAGACTTTTCGTAAGACGCTACTAAATTAATCGCGTTGCCAGCATCGGTCAAGTGCTTCTTTGCATGTCGGGCGGTGCGGGAGCCCAGTGGTAAAAGCATCACGCCGAAGACCCGGGTTCGATTCCCCACATGGGTACAATGTGTGAAGTCCATTTCTGGTGTTCCTGGCCGTGATATTGCTGGAATATTGCTAAAAGCGGCGTAAAACCATACTCACTCACTCACATGTCATCGAATCGCAACTGATACCATGATATCAGTCACTTCGTTGTATGCAAACAGTCGTTATGTACTGGAATATTACTGAGTACGGAGTTAACAAACAAATCGTTGGTGACAGATGCAGGACATGTTGAACCGTTTTATGAACACCAGGGATCACCTATGTGATATTGAAATTATTTGACATCACACCAACCTCTTATTGGTATCACATCAACCTCTTATTGATATCACATCAAACGCTTATTGATATCACAGCAACCTTAAAAAGTCTGAAACAAATCCCTTGGTGTTCCAACAGGAATACAACCAGTTACGTTCGAAGTATAACACTCACAGATCCATTTTCACAGATGGATCCAAGGACGATGGCCAAGTTGCCAGCGCTACAGTCATTGGATCCACGACTGTCTCCTCTAGGATCCCCGACAACAGTTCCATTTTCACCGCTGAAGCCAAAGCTATCTCCTCAGCTTTGACCTACATTCAACAGCAAAATCAGTCCAAAAACTTCATCGTTTTTACAGATTCATTATCCTGCCTTCAAGCACTTCTAAACGTGACTTCAAGTCACCCAATCATCTTCGACATACTAGAACTGTACAAAGACCTTTCTACTGGCCAATATGACATCGTCCTCTGCTGGTTGCCGGGTCACGTCGGCATAGCAGGTAACACTAAGGCCGATGCTGCAGCAAAAGCAGCTCTTGAAAAGCCCCTATCTCCACTGCTAATCCCATACAGTGATTTCAAACCCACTATCAGAAGCTATACTCGGGACCTGATGCAAAAAAGGTGGGACACTCAAGTAGGAAGAAACAAACTCCATGAATTGAAGCCAACAATCGGTTATACCTACTTGGGTGTCAGTCAAGACGTGATGAAGTAATTTTACGACGATGTCGTATTGGCCACAGTCGATTTACACATGACTATCTGCTAAAAACGGATGGGGATGGACCCCCCCATATGTCTCTCCTGCGATGAGGCTTTCACCGTCAAGCATATTCTGCTTGACTGTGTGGACTTTACATCTGCAAGGGACTCACATTATCACGCAACCAATCTGAAAGATCTGTTCTCCAGCGTGAGCGCTCATCTGATACTGAACTACCTGAGGGAAGTTGATCTATATCATAAATTGTAACTGTGTAATGTCACTAACGAATTTACCTGCTTTTCAATTTAGTGCTATGACATTCTCTGTTCTAAAATAACAATGTAATGAATGTATGTCTTTGAAACGAAACCACTTTGTACTTACAATGTATATTAATGCAGACTTGTTCTCGTCACTATATGGCTGGAAAAATGCCGATGTGACGTAAAGCCCTACTCAACTCACCTCAACTCTTATTGATATCAAATCAACCTCTTATTGATATCACATCAATCTCTTATTAATATCACATCAACCTCTTATTGATATCACATCAACCTCTTATTAATATCCCACATGGGTACAACTTGTTAAGCCCATTGCTGGTGTTCCCCGCTGTGATATTGCTAAAACGGCGTAAAACCATTCTCAGTCAGTCAGTCTTATTAATATCACATCAACCTCTTATTGATATCACATCAAACTCTTATTGACATCACATCAACCTCTTACTGGTATCACATCAATCTCTTATTGATATCACATCAACCTCTTATTGATATCCCATCAAACTCTTATTGATATCACATAAACCTCTTATTGGTATCACATCAACCTCTTATTGATATCACATCAATCTCTTATTGATATCACATCAACCTCTTATTGGTATCTCATCAATCTCTTATTAACATCACATCAACCTCTTATTGATATCACATGAATCTCTTATTGATAAGACATCAACCTCTTATTGGTATCACATCAA